CAGCTGGCGGGCACCGGGCCCCCGCAGGTCCTGCCCCGCCGGCGGGACCTCTTCCTGAACAACAAGCACGTGGGGAGGAACGTCCCCTACGGCGGCTACGACTGCTACGACCTGAGTGTGTTCGAGATGGACGTGCAGGCTCTGATCCGCCGGGAGGAGTACCTGTGTCAGGACACGATCCACAAGGCGCTTCAGGTGATGGAGGCCACGCCGGGCACCGGCCTGCCCACGGCCCGGCTCTTCTCCTACGGCGACCCCGGCGGGGACAGGTTCGAGAGAGACACCCGCGTCTCGCTGTTCGGAGCCCTGGTGCACAGTCGCACCTACGACATGGACGTCCGGCTGGACTTGCCCCCGGTGCCCGACAGCGCGGACCTCTCGGGGCTGGCCATCAAGGTGAGTGCCAACCTCCTGCCTGCGGCGCCCGGGGCCTTGGGAAAGGCCTCCCTGGCCGCCCTTTGGTCACGCGAAGGGAGTCCAGGCCACTTGGGGGCTGAGCTGTGGGAGGCCGGGCTGCTGCTGCTGCTGCCCACCACCCGGGCAAGGACGCCGCTGCCGGCTGCAGGCCCAAGCAGGCGCGACAGGGCGTGCTGTTCAGGCGTTTTTCTGTCCTCAGAGGAGCCGCTTAAAGTGCAAGAAGACGTTCAGTTCCTCAGTCACATAAGCCCGTTTCAAGGGCTCCATTTCCATACGTGGTAGAAAATGTGCGCTCGCACTGTACCCGCAGTTTTATATGCCTTTTCCACCTGTGACTGGGCTTTTGCATACATCACTGGGCTGTGTATTTTGTGGTTTTACGAGTGTCCCCGAAAGAAGAGACGCACTGTTGTTGCTCACTCGTTCCCTTACTACGAGACGTTTACTAGCAGGTCATCTGCAAACACGCACGACGCTGAACATCCTGGTTCACATAAGTCTTTCCGTCTCTAGTCCGATTTTATGCTGGTTCCCCCAAATTGGAACTTCCAGAGGGGATGCGTTTCATTGTGAGTTATAGTGAGGCTTACGTGTTGTGTGAAATTGGAAATTGAGAACCTTAGTAAATTAACTTAATTTCTTAAATTATGTAAGGGAGGTGGAAGCGCTGTGTAGTGCATCCGTGCTCACGAGGAACAGGAAGCATTGTCGGGTCTTTCCTGTGTGAGTGGATGTGTGAGGTCCTGGAATTCCCATCCCGGGGGAACCTGGACCCAGAGGCACACGCGGTGCTTTCTCCTCCGACCTGGTCTCCAGGTGCCTCAGAGTGTGGATCCGTCCGAAGATGAAGGGTTCCAGTCAGCATCCAATTTGACTCCCGACTCCCAGTCTGAGCACGGCACGACCCCGGAGATCGACCCCTGGGACGCGGTGCTCACCTACGAGGCCAGCAAGCGGAGGTGCTGGGAGCAAGTCGGCTGGTACGTGCGCCTTGGCCTTCGCAGGCCTGCCCTCCTCCGGCACACGGGTGTGCTTTACCCAAGAGCCCGGGTGGCTACTGGCAGAGGCCGCTGTGGCAGGACTGGGGACCTGGGAGTCTCAGTCAGCCTGGTGCACAAAATCATCTCTGTTCTGGGAGTTGAGAGACACTGCGGGGCGGGGGCGAGGACTGGCAGCTTCTCGGAGGTTCCCGCGGTGCCAGCCACACTTCCCAGCTGGAGCAGAGCCGCTCGCACCCGAGCTCACGTCCTTCCCACGAGGGTTCCAGTCTGAGGTGTGCTGGGTCGGCCCGGTGGGTGCGGTCAGGGCTGGGGTGCTGACGAGGGCGCTGTCTTCGTGCCCATTGTTGTCCACGTCGAGAAGGAGGGGAGCGCTGCTCTCGGGCTGGTCACTGTGGTGGCGGCAGTGTTTCCTTGGTCACCACTCAGCCGGGTCCAGGGGCCTCTGAATCTGCATGTGCTTGTGTCTCGAAACCTCCCGGAGTGGGGATGGAGGCCTTTCCCTCAGGTTTACTTGCTGAATCATTAGAACCTGTTTCCATTTAAAACCCAGCCACCTGGCCGGTTCCTGCCGTGGGCAGTTAAGGAAGCTGTGTTCCCACCAGAAGCAGAGCTCGCTGTCCCCAAACGGCTCCTGGGCTGTAAGCCCTGCCCCTGCCCGGGGCCTCTGGCAGACCCACCTGTGTCCCTGAGGGTTGGTCTGCAGGTGCCGCCCATTCTGGGGAAGCCGCTTCCTCCTGTCGGGCTGAGTCCTCCGTGGGGACGAGTGGGGATTTTAGTTTCTTGCATGGGCTTTTCTCCCTCGGCGCTGAGTCCGGGGCGGGGGGTACAGGGTGCGGGGATGAGCCTGCAGGAGTGGGGCCGGAGCCGTGTGCCCCCCCTGCCCTCGGAGTCGTGGGTTGGAATGTCCAGCAGCTTGGAGCCCGTAGATACTTTTTGAGTTGCTAGACCTAAACCCAAGGCTCTTTGGGGAAGAGGAGAAAAGAGCTGGTCAGGTGTTACAAGTGAGAAGAAAAGTTTCAGAAAGGCCTGTATTCTGGCCTCTGTTTACTAAGAAATTACCTTTTCCAGTGGTTTTAAAAGACAGTTTTTTCATACTTTCCAGGAGAGGTTGTTGGTTTTCAAAGGAATATTTTTCAATGTACTGTGTCTGTGGCTGATTGTAACGATGTGACTGCTGGGTGAGGCCAAGCCCTTGGTGCCCTGTGCCCAGTGCCCAGTGCCTAGAGCCACTCTCGCAAGACCCAGTGTGTCTGCTTTGTGCTGGCCCGGCCTGGGTGGCTCAGTGGTTGGGCATCGACCTATGAACCAGGAGGTCACAGTTTGATTCCCAGTCAAGGCACATGCCCCGGTTGCGGGCTGGATCCCAGTAGGCGGCGTGCAGGAGTCAGCTGATCCATGATTCTCTCTCATCATTGATGTTTCTATCTCCCTCTCCCTCTCCCTTCCTCTCTGACATAAAAAAAAAAAAAATTAATGAGGCTACTCTCTCATCATTGATGTTTCTATCTCCCTCTCCTTCTCCCTTCCTCTCTGACATAAAAAAAAAAAAATTAATGAGGCTGCTCTGTCCATCCTTTGTGTAATATGCACATAACTTAAACTCGCACACTTGGACCATTTTTAAGTATACAGCTCAGTAGCATTAAATATATTCACATTGTTGTGCAGTCACCACCACCATCATCTCGAGAACTTTCCGTCTTCCAAATTGAAACTCTGTCCCCATGAAACACTCACTCCCATCCCTCCCCCAACCCCTGGCACCGCCATCCTACCTTCTGAGTCTGCCACGCGGGGCCTCCTGTACGTGGATCGGCAGGAGCTGTCCTTCCTTGTCTGGCTTATCTCACTGAGCGTAGCTTCATCGGGGCCTGTGGTCGCAGGTCCCGAATGCCCTTCCTTTGCAGGCTGAATACTCTCCCATGTGTTTTAATCCACGCACCGGTCGGTGGACAGACACTCGGGCTGCTTCCACCTTTGGGCTGTTGTGAATGTGCTGCTGTGCACACGGGTGTGTAAGCCTTGTGCTTGTTTTTAAGATAAAGCTACGGTGTGAGTGTCGGTCGTCCTGAGGACCATCATGTGGGCCCAGTGGGTGCTGGGGTGGGACTCTGTGTGGATTGTCTGGACCCAGCGCAGCCGGTGCTGAGCCCACAGAGCTGAGGGAGAGGCTGGTGGCTGGGCGGACACACCCGCTCTGTTTCTTGGACGTTGTGTTGTATTGAGTCACTTTCTCCTGCCTTTTCTTCATGTAGTTGAGGTGCCCGTGGCTCTGTCTCCACAGCCCCCCTGGCCACAGAGAAGAGCCCTACCTCACGGAGGCGGGAAGGGACGCCTTCGACAGTTTCTGCAGGCTGTGCCGACGCGAGCTGCAGG